CCATGTACAAAAAAACTAAATCAGTATGATTACACTGACACAAATATTGAAATGTCAAAGTAATTCTGACAAAAAATTAATATAATAAAGAAAATGGCTTGCTGAATCGCTTGTCTATTGAATTACCAATAAATTTTTTTTTAAATTATACCTAAGACGAGGCTTACGGACTTTACCCTGGCCAAATGTTAATTTTGATTAGATTTGTAGTAACATACAGATACAGTTATTAAATAGTTAGTTTTAAGGGTATCATCGTAATTGACTACATATATCACTGGATACGTATACGCTTATAGGCGATATTAATTTATCGATATGATATCTGAGCACTTATGATTTGAGAGATGCTTTTTATAAAAACGAACGCATTCACCGAAAGCAAGTGTTTTTTTCAATATATTTTTAGTAATAATAATGCTATTGAGTCTATGTTCGTATATAATTCTGCCATATATTTGTCTAATCGGTTCAGATATAATAGTAAACCACTTTTTTGCATTTATAGAGAGATGTTATTCTCTTTTAAACAAAACAATTAACGGTAATAAAACAATTTTTTTACCGGATTGAAGTTATGTATTTACAATTATTTTTCATAATTTCGCGTGCTCTACAGCGTGCGTGGTGGCTGTCATAACATACATAACTTCAATCCGGTAAAAAATTGTTTTATTATGAGATGTGTGAAAGTTATGTCAATAAAAGACAATACTATTAACGGTACTCAATTTCTTGCTTTCGGTGACACAAGTCTCTGTCAACAAAGCGTAACCTGTCAATTCCTTCCAAATTCCTATTTTCAGCAAAAGCTTCAACAGAATGTTACCTAATAGCACCTACTGCAAATTGATTTATTTTTAGTTCAGCAGGAACAGTTTTACGCAATTTCTGGACGGAGATTACATTTACATAAGTCCCCTTCCAAATTTAAAAAGGCATCATTAATTGCTTGTAAAAATTCATTTGTATACAATCGCTTTTTAATCTGTTACCAGCAAGAACCAATGATTTTGTTTTGCGTTTCAATACTTTATATACTAGTTAAGGTCTGGAATTTCTTATTCATATTCATATACATTCCCTGACTCTGGAGGGAGCTGTTTTGCCAAAATGAACTACAGCCAAATACTTGGGCATGCACCTGGACAAACGCTTGACTTGGCAAGACCACATAAAAGCCAAGAAGGAGCATGCTATTGGTAGGCTTCGTAGCATGAACTGGCTATGAGGTAGAAATGCCGCACTTAGTTTGGAAAATAAACTTGTCACCTACAAAACCGTAATAAAACCAATATGGTTCTATGGAATACAGCTCTGGGGGTCAGCAAGCCGCTCTAATATCGAAATCCTGCAGCGGCTACAAAACAAAGCACTGCGAAATATGAGCGGTGCGCCGTGGTTAACACGAAATGCTGAAGTCCATAAATATTTGGGAATTGCCACTGTCGAGGAAGACATTAAAAGATCTACCGTGCGATACAAAATGAGACTTCAGCAACACGTCAATCCCCTAAGCTTCGGGCCTCTTGGAAACGACGGACAGTGTGTATCGGCTAAAAAGGGCGAAACTTGCCGCAGTCTGACAGTTTACCAATTACGGAGTATTAATACCCCTACGAAGGAGATGTTATATAAACCTTTAAATACTTCTTTTATTCACTAGAAGTAAAAGATATGATTCTTATAGCGGCCATGATAACAAAGCTGTTGAAGATTGATAGTATAAGAGATTTACTGCGCTACACCGTCTCTTTCATTCAAAAGATATAAATGTTTCAACTTTTGACACACTCGATGAACTTTATTAATTATCGAGAGTTATGACTCCCTTCCGTCAAAATTCAACACGTTTTTGACATACTTGAGGATGAATCTTCCCTAAGGCTATATCAACTGTGTAATAATTTTACTATCCTCAAATTCGATAGTTCAAAAGGTTGAGCAAAAGGTGACGCATGGTCACATGACCATTTCAAATGTATTGAAGCGCAAGACAAAAGCCCAGGTCCATAGATAAAACAATATATCCGCATAGTCATTTAAATACGATAAGATATGCATGACTTGTGACAGTTATTTTCCTTCTTATAGTACAGTTGCCGTCGAGTATTTGGTATTCAGTCAAAATTTATGTATGTCGATCTAATATATCTAAACTACAATAAAACACCTACATTGGAAGCATTAATATTCAATTCCGTGAGTGCTAAAATTACTTGTAGACTAAGCCTTAAACATTAACCAAAGTACTCTGGCGACATTTACACGAGGCACAAATATTGTTGTCTTTATTAATAAACAGCATCTATTATTATCTGTAATCTCAATAAACGTAAAAATTGCTATAATAAAACGATTTAAGATAATTTCAATTATTGCACGAGCGGAAATATTAAAATTAAAATGTTTTAAATTCTAACACATTTCTATTTATAATCTGTTGCTGTCACTTTTGACAGTTGACATTATCGCCAGTGTACTTCAGCTTTGAGAGGTGAAAATTGCTAAACTAACCGTCTACACTATCAAGCAATTTTACCCCTACATGGTCCATCTTTTACGTTTTGATATTCAACACCTATGGTGTTTCACACAACCAGAACTTTAATTTGTTCGTTACCATTAAATAAACTATAAAATAACTACCCTAATTGGACATTAGCCCTTAAAGTGTGATGTATATGACTAAATGTTCGGCAATGATTGTGTATAATTGCAATGGCAGTAGCCGTATAAGGCAACTCAGTACCCGCTGTGAATATATATAATATATCTTATAAATGACAGCAAGTATAATAATATAACCTAAAGAATTGTCATTCGTCTATTTATAAGATTTTTTAAAATTATAAACAAGAAAGTAACTAAACTTAATACCAGTTCGCACTTTTACCTTATGGCAAATTAATTAATTTTCAGTCCATTTCACGAAATACAAAAAATTCAAATTGAGTATTCTATGATACGATATAATCAGAAATAACGCTAATAAATCGAAAATATTTTATGTTAACTAAATCTTTGTTCATGACGGCACTATACAGATAATATGTAATAAAAATTTAAATATGAGTTCACAGCGGCTATCAAATTTCACTTACATAAAATTATAACGCTTCAAGTCCACGTGCGTATTATTATCGTGTGAAAAGGCACTAATATTAGATAATTCAGGAATGATGAACCATATTTTCGTATATATTTCGTTTTAAGCACAAAAGATGCGCGGTGTTTCTCTTTATTACATTTTAATTAAAAAATGCTTTGGTTTTTTAATATGCGCTTTTGTTTTATATCATCATTACAATTGACCATTTTTATCCAAACCAACCTTTTGGTGTAAAAATCCGTTAAAATGTTTCCAATGAAAATGATAACTCACATAAATAATACTGATATGATTCGAATACCTTAAGTGGAATGAAGGAAGTCCTCAGTGAAGAAATCAAACCTGAAAAACATAAAATACTAATGAGAAATTGGAGACAATTTTTAAATGCTTATCGCTTTAATCTTAGGAATTTTTGGATTCAAAAGGAATCCATTCATCGAGAAAGGTTGTATTGTAAAACATATATTCGTCTCTTTCTGTGAAATTGTCTTGACGCTGGTTAAAGAGTTCGGCAATCTTTTTAGTTATAAAAGTATATAGATGTTTAATTATTTTTTTTACTGATTCGTTCTAAATTTGCATATATCCTTGTATAGAAGCATTTTTAGCCCTACTCAGATTTTGAAGTCAAACCCTGGCTAGTGTTTTTGTTTACGACATTTTATTGAATGATAAGCCGCTTTTGGCAAGATAGCGTTATAACGCTTATAATATTTATGACATTATTTGATAAATATCAATTTAATATCATAATATATAAAACGAAATCGGGTTTGTTCAAACACTTATAACTCGAGAACGGTTGGACTGATTTTCATAGTATTAGATTTGTTGTATCTGCGGCGCCCCGAATAGAATAATACAAAAATAAATAAAAACTAGTACAATACAAAATGTTCATGGGTTTCGTAACTGTCAAACATTTAATATTCACCAGTTGATACGGTAAACACTCCCCTCAAATTGAAGCATGTATTTAAATAAAGGTTGTAACGTAGAGTACTGCAATTCAGTGACAGAAGTGAACTTAATATTTATTTTGTATATGGGTGTATTGAGTATTACAGATATCAAAATCTGTTATAACGACATCGAAGGTCACTAATATTTGGCCGTAAAAACCGATAGTCGTAAGAGCCGATTATTAAGAACTTAATACAATAGAATTCAGCCGGGACCTTTGATTTTGGTCAATATAACCGGTATGTTGTTCTATACTATGTCGTCGTAAACGGTTTTGATTGTACTTTCATAAATTTATAAATAAAGTTCAACGAATGTCATGTTACAGATAATGTAAAATTATATTCATTGATTGTTAGGCGGTACAAAGTGCGGCGAGCAGCTAATCAGATTTATACAACCGATAATTCAAGTAATAATCAAATTATAATTATGATACTGATTAAAAATATTTTTGAATTGCTTATTATCTATGTCAGAACTATTAAAATAATATATTTATTCTCAAAAAGTGACCGCAAGTTTATTTATTAGCCAGTCTTCTCGTTCGTTCTACAACCATGATTTGAGAATTGGCAGTAAATGTAAATTTAGAAACATTTTTTATATTGACAATCATGTACATTATGTAGATATGAATAAATATAATGATTTCAACCAATAGGTCGCTTTGTTACCGAGCAATTGACTTGATCGTATGGTAAAGGATAGCATCGTGAGGGACCGGCAACTAGGGTAAGATTCGGAAGAGATTAAGGGATAAATATGAATCATTTTTTGACCAACAGGAGTCATACTTCGTCTCGACTCTGAAAGATCTCTTAGACCCTCAATATTCGTTCAGAAGAAGTGAGTTCAAATTCATATAATACTAACCTTAAAAGAATCGTTCGCGTTTATCACCTCTACATCAATGAAAATGTTACTGCATCAATGTGTAATTTGCCAAGGGATTAAAGTCCTTACTGATCATATGCGTTGCATTGTGCACCAGCTTGTATCCCCAAAGGTCTAACGCTTCTTTGCATACCAACTGAAAATGGAAATTATACCTTATTAACTTAAGCCGTCAGTAAAATGTCACGTGCATACAAATTGTGAGCAGTTTTGGCATGAGAGAGCACCTGTCAAACAAGAGATGCCAACTATATTCTATGTGGGCAATTAACACTCATATGGTAAAGGAATACGTTAGGAAACCGGCATGTCTCAGACCTTACGAAAGCTCTGATCGCGTGGTGGTATGCGGACAAAGCTACGCTGATACCGTGTCCTGCTTTAAGCTATTGCTGGTGGCGACTGGGGTTTTAACGGGTATGCACAGCTACGAGTGTCACATATACCCTTCACCACGAGGCAACCGTGCTGCGGGAAGGTATCCCCACGAAAAGGCACAGAAAGCTGATCACTTACTTGCCTATTAAAAAATAAATTATCACGCAACATACAGAAGTCTAGTGGCGTTATTGATGCATTCTATAGGTGTTAATATATTTTTTAAATTTATTAATTGCTTAAAGATGTGATGCCTAATGCAGCTTATAAAGATTTAGCATAAAAGCTCAGCTATTTAAAAAGCTCTTCTCGTCCGTTCTACGCATTTGAGAACTGGCAGTAGGTAAATTTAGAAGCATTTTTATTGATGACGTTTATAAGTGTACATTAAGTTACCTATATGAATAAATGATATTTTGATTTTTGATTCATAACGACAAACATGTTAGTTAGGCTTGCCGAGCCTTTGCCACATGTGAGATTTTCGATTCTGAATTTTAACCTTCAATCTCTGTAGCTTTGATAGCCAATAGATCCTTAAATCCTTAACAAAAAAAATGGTGCGTGTACTTATGTACGCGCGTAAGAAGTTATACTTCTTTGGCTTTCTTTTTTTTTTTAAATATTAAATACCTAATTAATAATAAATATTAAGCGTTAATAATTTCACAATATTTAATATTTAGTATATTATTCAATTATTAATTAATGTTAATAATAATTATTATTTATTATTTTATTATATTATTAATTCAAACCTAAGTAACTATAGGTCTTTGTGAAAAAGCATTGCTAAATTTCTTTGAAAAAATAATTAAAACTCCTTTATTTGTTTAAAAGGTACTACAAATGTCATTATGGTCATTCAAAATTCTTGGCATAGCTGCTAACGTCACGCATATTCTATTTATTTTTACTTGTAGATTGTCTTATTCCCATCTCGCTCGCGCACGCTCGGCGCCCATACTGATAATTTTGTGTCGCGGTGCGCGCGCATCGTAAAATTTCACTCTCATAAATTTTTCATAACGCGCCTAAAGAAGTATAACTTCAATAATTAAATTATGTGATTTGTCGTTGTTGTCATTAATAAAGCAATGTACTGTACATTAGTCAATTGATTAATACGTGCATGTTTAGCGATATAACTTGTTCCTAATGAAACGATGTTCCTAATTTCCGAAACATCAATTAACAACTGTGGCATTCAAACTGCTATACGTATTCGATTACTAAGGTCCGACATAATACATATAAATTAACTTAATAACAATTACATGTAAGGAAATACTTACAGATAACAAATCAGATCAGATTAACAAATGCACTTATTGTTAAATGATAAAATTAATGACCGATACACGATAGATATCGCATCGTACAAGGGACCAATTTGCGTTGTGGTCAAGATCTATCGCCTTCTATTTTCAATGGTAAATTATCGAAATATTAATCATGATAGAGTGATCAATTCTCATACAAAAAAATAACTATTATTATATGTCGCATACATTAATTTGTGCACGATTAAGAACTTTTATCTGTTGCATAGTTTATATTATATAACGCTAAATTAGTCTAATTGCGCAACCTCCGCCAGCGTCGTTATCTGTGAAATGTGTATTTACGCTATGCAGAAAAGAGAACTTCGGTTAAAACGGTGCAATTGGACTCATTTTTAATAAATAACCGTTATATGTTTATATAAAGGAATTTAAAACAAGACATACTTCGTTGTGAGCATAGAGTTGTTTCAAGGAAAAGAAAGTTATCTGTTTAAGAAACACGATAGAAACCTGTCTTCGCTGAATATTTTATTAGTCATATAATTTTAAAACTCAGGAAATAAATTTAAATTAAACCCCACATATAACGCATAAAATACCCCCAAAACCACAACGGCCATTAAACTCCCAATACAACGGCGCTAATTCAACAATTCACTGATATTAAATAATTAATTCACCTGTATATCCTCAACAAAGTTGTAATTTAAAACATTTCTCCATTTGAAAGGCACTTCGCGGGACACCCTGAACGTGGAACTGACACCAGACACTTCAACATTAGTATGTGAGAGAAGAAACTCTTCAACAGATGTTGTTGGACTGATTCCTAGGAACTTTAGAAGACTAGGCACGGTACTGTTTGGATCTAATGCTAACTCTTCATACCGCTGTACTCTGGAATAAACGTATTAATTAATTAAATATTTATAAAATTTACAGTACCAACAAGTAACAGTATTATTATACGAACTACCGTAATAACGGTATATTACATGCAGGTAAATTAATCTTAATTAATTTATTATATTTAATTCTGCGTTTCAGTAAAAAATATTGGTAATTAACGAAGGAAGTTATCGGTTTGAATTTTTTAGTTGGAATTGGGAATATTTGCGCGTGGTGATATATTTATGCTTTCAAACCCGTGTGCTAAATTTCGTGTAGCATGTTTCTACAAATTTCTCGAAACAAGTCATTTTAAGATGATCCTTTGTGGTGATGTTAAAATGGGTTATATTGCAACTCAGGGTATCACAATAGAGGTAACGTAACGCACTATTATGTATCTATATAATGTTTTTATAGGCTTCTTCCTTCATCCTTTTATTGTGTAAAAAAAATATAGTCCAGTTTTCATAAAAATCGGTTTCAACAGCTTATAGATACCCAAACCACGCATTTCTGGACATGTATATTATTTTACTATAACGATAATGTTTCCTTTCAATTGATTTTAATTACCTTTATTTTAAAGGCCCCTTAAATAGATCGTATATAACGCGCGGAAGTGTTTCTTTTGCATTTCTGGGCTATGAATTAATAATACTAATAACAGTAGTAAAACTTCTTTTTTTAAATTACACATTTGTTTAGTAACATTAATCTAGTTTGTCTTTTATTTTTAATGTATTTTTATCATTGTAATGTTTCCTCCTAAATGTTGTGCCCATCTGGTACATTGCATGTATTATGTTTTTGTATGTTGTGTGTTCTCGGTAAGTGATTGATTATTTTTTCGTTAGTGTGCCTTTTAAAATAAATAAAGTTATTCTGTTGCAGAAAACCATTTATATAATATTTGAAACTGTGTTAATTTGTTCACAGTCCAATCCTGAATGTACAAACAAAAAACAAAAGAAAACTATTGAGGTTTTATCCTATCGTATAGGAAATTATTTAACGTCAACACTCCAAATGAATTAATTGAATTCCCTAAAGTCAATCAAAAAATTATTATCTGAAGACGGCCTGAATGGGTACTTAAATTAAAGGATGAAATCTTAGATTTATCCTATTGAAGAAAATAATTAAAACCGCGGCATAACTGATACAAGGCCGCGTGAATAATTACAGTTATAAACTCTGCATAGAATTACTTGTTCTACTTTCTTTAATTGCACCCAGCGGCACAATTGGTTTACACTCTTCATGGAGTGTAGCTGCAATCTCAAATGCTTTGGAAAAATGCCAAGATTTCTTGCGCTTTTTAATCTTAGTAGTGGCAGAAAAAATGTTAAAACACATTTTTTGATAACACTGTTGTATTGTTTATAATATCTGTCCCTAAATATACTAGTAATTGATTATCCCTGAGCAAAATTATGTAGCATTCACTTTTTTATAACCAAGGTCTTTGTATATTTTTATAGATCAGAGATAATTCCAAAGTAATTTTTGCATTCTACTTTTTTGCCTTTATTGTGCACATGAATTTATTATACATTATATACCCTTATTTATTTCTGCAGATTCCGGTAATAGTAGCTAATAGCATACATTAATACTTCCAAATACCAAAATTTGAGTTTGAGAGAACTTAAGAAAGAGTTTAAACTTACATAATTCTGTCAGGATAAAGCTTTATTAACCGGCTAGCTGCAACATAATCACTGATCATATCAGCACATAACAACTCTGGTTTCCAACAATCAGGAGATGGTTGGCAAAAGTTACGGTGCTGTCTGGACTGCATCACTCCACGAGGATCTCGGATCAATAAGACCACTTTAATATTAAGCCTGAAATTCATTATAAGCCAATAACAATGAAAGGTAAGGTATTTATCATCTCTCTACCACATATAATAAATGAACAACCCAGTTCAAGGCTTTTTAAACATTGAATTAAATGACCTTTCAATTTAAAAAATGTTGATAGTTAATTACAATATTTATTTATAATTGGCATCAGCCCTGACCTTTTACATATGAGATACTTACTCTTTGTTCTCCAGTAACTGTTGTATAAGGTGTAACCTGACTCTAACTATTTTCATACTTTGAAAAGGAAAGAGTTTACAAAACTTTGAGGTGAAGTCAGCATCTAAACACAATTCCTTCCTATATTTACAGTGGTCCCACAATCTTGTATTATGACTGAATTGGTGTAAATGTGTTTTACCATACTCAAAATACTCATCCATACCATTATAATCACATTTCAACATTTTAGTGACTGTCTCTAAGGCTTTATCTGAATATGGAGAACCTCTAATTTGTATAATTTCATAATTTAGTAGAGGTTCATAGTGATAGTAATTTCCAGGTACAGAATTAAGCACCTCCCCCAAAAATGTGGTTCCTGATCTCCAAGTAGATATAATTATGCTTCTTAAAGGTTGTCCACCGGACTCCATTATTAAGTCTTCAAGCCTTTTCACACTCGAGACTGTAAAGTTATAGTTTTCTAATTCAATTTTAATTTTATATCGTGTTTTTTCCATGATTGTAGCAATATTCAAAGAGCTATCATCGGGATTAGTGGGAGTTTGTTGTGGTATATTAATTTCAATAATTCTGTGACTTTCAGGGGATGGACGGTAATAAGTATTATCTGTATACCGACTTCCAGCAAGAATTAATAGAACACTGAGCCCGAACGCGATACATATTGAGTAAAAGTTAACTCGACGCAACATTACTATTAAAAACAACGAAAATTATCACTGATAAACTTCACAGAGAATCATAAATATTTTTTTTATTTCGAGCACGCTAACTTGCACATAAAATCATTTTGTTAAAGTTTTATTGTTCATTTTGATCACGATTTTCTTGCTTGCGCTTCCATAAAAACACCGCATTGCACCTCTAACGCCATAGGTATTTGCTTGTAATCTGAATTCTGAATGCCTGCAGCCTGTGTCATTTTACATTTGAAGGATTTGAGATTTGATGAAATGTGACGTTTGAGTACTATGTTGTAGCCACCCATGCACATGTCAGTCATTAATTTGTCAATGTCAAGAATATACTCGTTCTGTCCCATGTGACAGTTGTCAAGTATTCTTATAATCTGCTAAAATGGTGCCAACTATGAATAATATAACCAACGTGTATGTATGCAAGTTTTATTATTTATTAAAAAATATTTAAAATTATGTAGTTTGTTTTTTTTTTTCAAATAATATGTTAAAAACATTATTTGCTAATATTTTTTTGAAACTAAATATAAGTAACTTAATTTAGGAATGTAATAAAACACAAGTTATGCTTTAAATTGTTTGAGTTATGTTTAATTGAATGACTTCATACTTTATATCCCACAATATGCATCTTCCCTATAGTCTCGCCCAGAAAGAACCACATTCCTATTTCTGTGCCCACCAACAAGAGAAGCCATGCCTGTTTTACAGTGAGTTGCTTATAGGCTCCTGATCCAAAAAAATCTTTAACGAGTTTTATGTCATTTTTTATTTGCTGGAAAAGAACAATATTCATGTTGAGTTTACTGACACAAATCTCCATTATTATTCCACAAAAAGAACCTCCGAAAAGCCACCCGTCCCCCATTGAACGCCTATGCTCGAGGCTGGGAGATGCAGGTATAAGTCTCTATTATTTAACTTAGTTTAATGTACCTGTCTACCGAAATAAAAGTCGGCATCTAGTGCTTGAACTTATCTATTCAAATATTAGTTTGTTTCATGATTGATATAAACCCCGCAAATTGCTAATGCACCTCGCTTTATAGTTTCTGTAATATTATCCGCTTTTATAGGGCTCTTAAGAATTATTTTAAATTAGGGTAACGTTACATTTGGTTTTTGTTGTATTATATGAATTTATTAAAATAATTACTGTTCCTGCTTATCATTAAGGTACGTCGATTAATAGTTTGAGTTAAAGCGATTCAGCAATGTATATTAAAATAAAAAAAATGTAACAAGCTAGCAGAGTAACATTTTTACCTGTAATATTACTTGTTTTGAAAGAACATTAAAAACATTAACAAAAATATTTCATACTTGGTGTTATCTTAATGCTCGTCTTTAGTAAATTTTAAATCGTTTTTGTTTTAGTTTTAGATATGACAAAGTTACATCACATAAGCAGTTCATTGGGATAACTTACACACACTGGCGATCTTAAAGATCTAGAAATAGGCGAATTCAACTACCTCGGATCTTTATTGAGCAGTGAAGGTGGCTGTAAAAATGACGAAGAACACAAATGACGCCATGACAAAACTATTGCGAATATGTAAAGATCGAAATATTTTGGTAGAATCCAAAAAAAGTTGGTCAGAATAGTGTAATTAATATAGTTGGTCGAGAATCCGAAAAGAGGCGGCTGGATGCCCTTGAAATGCGGTGTTGGTCAAGATACTCTAGATAGCGAAACGCAGACATATAGCACACAGAGGTCTTGATAACTTGCGAGATCCTTGTGATGGCTTGTACAGTGGAAGACACAAGAGCCCATGGCCGATCCCCTGCTCGCTGGGCTGAACAAGTTAAGGTTCTTAGAGTCCTTATCGTTACATAGGCGCTAAGGCTTGCTGAAGACAGGGGTTATTGGAAGAAGCTATGCAACACCAACACGTTTATTAATAAAAAACGTAACTACAGAGATTCATAAATAAGATAGGTCCTACCATTATTTCGTTATTGTTCGGAGGAGCCATTTCTAAACTATAAAATCCTTTAGCGACACGCAATTTACGCGCTAATTCTGACTTTGAAATATTTTCTGATATTTCTCTAATTTGTTTTAGTAAGTCTTCCTTTCTTTTATGAAATGGCCCTAACAGGTCGGGGACTCCATGAACGCTGCCAAATTTAACTCTTTCTCCTAAAATGAATATAATAAACGTTTTGCAGAAAAGAAATCTTCAATAAATAATTTTTATAAGAACCTTTACTTACGCAACAAGTACGATGCGAATTGTAGGGCGCTTGATTTGATAACCATTATTTTTTCAATTAAATAACCTGTAAGCCAATATTCCTATAATATTTGGTATTTTAGTTTTCGTTTTTAATGACATACAGTCATAGACAGGCATGGATCAAGGATCTATAAAATAATAAAGAGATTTATGGCATAGACGGTCTATGATTTGAATAAAATTACATATTTTATATAATCTGCTATTACAACGCAACTGGATAAAATAATGAACAAAGTATTAAAACTATTAATATTTTTTACATTGCGGTTTTGTGGGCCATGGCCGCTCTAATGCCTATAATAATTAATATACTTATTCGCTTTTCAGTTATTTCTGAGATATAGCAATGTTTCACATCCTTAATTGAAAAAAAACTTGGCCTAAGAATTCAAGATCTTGTTGTTAAAGTAACATTATTGAAAATACTTTTAAATTTAATACTTCGACATAATAAAGCATTTCATCGATCTCAACTTATTGGATATGGCAGAACCTTTGTTAAGATTGGATATATTCAGTAAAAAGGAAAAATATTAAATATTTTTAATATGATCTATTTCAATTAGTAATTATCTAATACAGTAGTAATCTAATACAGTTGAAATGTTATTTTTTAGCTTTAGGGGGTGATCCTCTTTTGACTTTACGCCTTGTCCTTTTTGCCTTCTTCTTAGTTTTCGGTGGAACACGTTTTTGCGACTTTGTAGTACCTTTTTTAGCTTTGACTTCAGATTTAGTTTCTTTTTTAGGTGAATCGGATTTCTTAGCAGGTTGTGCTGCCTCTTTAGCTTGTTTTGCTTGTTTTGTATCTTTTGCTTGTTTTGCCTCTTTTGCTTGTTTTGCCTCTTTTGCTTGTTTTGCAGCTGCATTTGCCTTTGCAGCTTCAAGCCGTTTTTCTTCCTCAGCTTTCTTTAATGCTGCAGCTTTAATTTTTTCTGCAGCGGCTTTCAATGCAGCTTCTTTTTGTTTAATAGCGTTTATTCGTGCAGCTTCTATATCGTTTAATTTTTGTTCGAGCCCACCAATAAACTTATCAGCAGCACCGCCTACTGTAGTTTCAATAGATTTTCCGAGAGATCCTTGAAACATTTGAGAAGTCATTGGAGGTACCATTTCAACTTTTGCATATTGCCAAGCCGTCGCAACTACTGGTCTCAAATTTTTGCAGATAGCTAAAATTTATATTCAATTAAAGTACCTATTTTTATAAGTGTATACAGGTTACAAAAATTTACGTTTTCAAACTATGCCCCCTAGCCTTTTTTTGTGGAATCAATTTCTTTCTTCAACGCCTCAACTTGTTTTTGTAACGCTTCAAGTTCTTTGGGCAGTAATCTTGCTCTGTACTCAATACATTTAGATACCAATTTATCATGTAGAGTGTCAAAGGCAGACTCCATTTTCCTTACTATAAAGTTACAAACTAAGGGCTTTGCTTTTGTGCTTGAAATTTGGTCTTTTGCGTTAAGCCAAACTCTTGATACAATCGGTCCCATTTTTCTCAAAGAAACTGCAAAACAATATATTATGTTAGTATTTATGTAAGTGTAAATGATTTGTTTTGCTTAAAAGTTTCTATGAGAAATTCGGGATAAATCATGCCAGAGGGAAAGGCATTTATTATTTTTAAATAACTTACAAATGGTTACATCTAGTGCAGTTTTCATTGCTCCCATGAATTAGGCTAGGGTCGCTGATAATTTTTGGGCGATAAATAAGGATAAATAATTATACATGGGAAATGGCATGTAGACACATATATATTTTTCTCCGTCTCTATGGTTACGTGTAACCACAGATTTACGGTAAAGTCGATATTTGTAGATTTTTTTATAAGGCCAAGGCTACACGGGCGGTTCTCCCGCCGCGGAAAACCGCTTCTGAACCGCACTGGACACAATTTAATATGAAGTTGTATGCTGCATACTACACTGCGCGGTTTCCCGTCGCGGCTCACAGGCGGGAGAAATACGACCGCCGCATGCAGCGTCAAACCGCCGCTGATAACCGACGCTTAAAAATACACGGACGGTTTCCCGCTATCCCGCCGTCATTCTGCGCGGGCCGCGGGACCTTGGCGCTCGCTCGTCGTTCGTGCGCTTGCGTGGCTAGTGTCGCGTCAAAATGTTCGATACGGAGCGTTTTATTGTAGAAATACAAGATCGAAGTGCAGTCGAAGGATTGAAATTGAAATGAACAAAAGGCAGCGATAAACCGCGTCCCGTGTAGTTTGATGGTCTGCGGCAGCTTTGTCGAGCGGTTTCCCGCGGCGGGAGAACCGCCCGTGTAGCCTTGCCTTAATAGTTTAAAATGTAGCTCATAGGAGGTCCAATCAAATGCATAATCACTCAAAAGCAAAAGATTCAAACAACATTTTCATCGTTGAACTTATTTTTTTATAACCCAATGTATACTTGTCACTTAAGATTTTCTTTATTAAACACTAATATTAATAAAAATATGAGAACATTTCTATGCTGATTCCTGAGACATTAAATCCAAACGAATAGGTTTTTGCTTCAAAACATGTTATAAAAACGATATTAATATTTCATAATCAAGCGTTCTAGTTTATTAAGAATCGTTGGTATTTATGCAAATAGGCCTAGACAACGCAAATAGATCTAGAATTATGAACTGGCCTCGGTGATCAATTATCGCAATGTGTACCTACTTGCGTACCAATCAAGTTTACCGTATTTTATATCATATAATATTAATTTACGTGGGTAATAAATTAATATTTTATTTCAATCACAAAATTTTTTGGTATCATATCTTAATACATGAAACGAAACTATCAATTTTACGTTCTAGCTCCTGGAAATGGTATTATTTCAATTACATGAATGTCAGTCACATCGTGACGTCATATTCAGATAGTAAGTAGGTACCTACTATTTGATTGGGACAAGACCACATTTTTTTCATCCATTTTATTAAGAAAAATACACGAAAGCCTACGTTACACAAAAAACAATTAACAACAAAATTCCAAACAACTTTTCAAATCACCAGACAACAAATTGTGTGAAAATTACTGACGAATACGAAATTTAATATAAAGACATACTTTTATTTTATAGCATTACAAATCTATGCAATCATTATATACTAAGATTATTGGTATTATAATAATTCTTGTTTGTTCCACATACAAAGCAATCATATTGCATTGAATCGTTGCGGCCTGAATATATTGTTATGCACATATTTGATGATTATTTTGAAATTATGACCTATTCGTATATTTCATACACGAGTTGCCGCGTGTATTATTTAATCTTAAAATTCGATACTATTTACTTTGGTTTTTTTTAGCTTTTATTCGCAATAATAATTTTAAAAAATACGGTCCAGTCTGACTGTACATATTATATTAAAATAATCTACTGGCAGTCTATTTTTTCTTGAAAAATTGAATTTAAAAAATATTTACATTTTTTTTATTACTCAGACAGAGGGACATTTGAAGAAAAAGCCATTTATGAAAATTTTAAATCAAATCAAAAAACGTTGAAATCTCTCATGGTTTTTTTTCCAAACGCCAAAAAGACAAACTTTTGTTGTCATTATCAATTATGATAATACTTAGTGTATTTTATACACAGTCTACAGTCTCTAGGTCTTGGCATAAGATTTCTGTCAGTCTTCTGTGCCTGATACAAATCATAGATTTGTGAGTCTAAGGCCAGTTCACTCGCCATAATGTCCTTCACCGTACGAGCATTAGTAGCGTATATAGAAAAAAAATCTATTGGTGCAAAACCGTGTTTCGAACAGGCCGTTTACGAATAGACAGGCAACGCACTCCTTCTGGCATTGAGAGTGTCCATGGTATCACTTAATGTCAGGTGGGTCACCCGTTTGCTCCCTGTTCCATAAAAAAACGTTCGTGTACTAATGTACACGCGTTAGAAGTTATACTTCTTTGGCGTAAAGATAAAAATATTTTCAAAAATTTTATTCTACGTTTGTAGAAAACACGACACTAACAGTAGAACAAACCAAAATGTTGACTATAGCTAACTTCAGGGTGTCAGTTTTGTGTGACGGTGTGCGCGCGCATCGTAAAAATTTACTCTCATCATTTTCTCTAAGGCGCCAAAAGAAGTAGGTACAACTTCAAAACAAACAACGAGGGTTGCGAGGCTCACGCTCATCCATAACCTGCTGGACTGCTTTAGCAAATTTACTACCAACGAATACCGACCGAGTGTTAGGGCGATTTTGTACCAAACTCGATCAAAAAAAACAGATTTCGACTCAAATTCACTTCACACAGCTGTGTTTGACCTAAGCGCACCAAAATGCGTTGAATTAAGATTTCAATTGATTTCTATAATCGAGGTTTACGGTGTTTCTTTGTAGAAAAACGGTCTTTGATGGAGTAGTTGCATAAGTCTTATGTTTAAAGCTCTAATTGTAGTAATAAATGTTTCAAACTCAAACTCAAACTCAAAATTCTTTTCAAGTAGGTACCAAGTACACTTTTGAATCGTCAAGTTAAATTAATCGTAAATTTACATTTACTACCAGTTCGCAAGTCAAGGGCGTAGAGCGGGTAAGAAAACTGCAAGAAACTTTCCGCCACTCTTTTTAATCGCCAAGTATTGTCATACAAATTGTTTGAACTGGAGCAATTCAATCCCAAGGATTAGGATCATTTAAGTAGTCCTCAAATTTATAAAAAGCTTTGTTATTAATTTTCGTTTAACGAGGGCTTTGAATTTATTTAGTGATAATTCTCTAATTTCGCTTGGGAGCTTGTTGTAAAAACGAATACAATTTCCATATAAGGAGTGGTTTATCTTTTGGAGCCTGGTTGTCTACACTCAAATTAGTTCTATTTCGCGTATTATACTGGTGAAATCACCATTTGTTTTAAAATCTTTATATTTTTTTGACATACAACAAGGCTTCAAAATATATTGACCAATAGTGTCTAATATTTAATTCCTTAAACTTATTCCGTACCACTCCCTTGAGACCACATACCCCGAACAGCCCGCTTCTCGCATAAATATGGATTGAACCTCTCGCCCACCCTACAGTAAATCCGTGACTAACGCTTGAGCTATGGTCACATTTTGCCGTGTCCTCATCAGTAAACTGTCGGATTTTCTTTACTCTTTCAAGCTCAGCCTATTCGAAAGAGTCTCTATGTGTGGGCCCCATGGAGTTTACTATCTATTGTTATGCCTAGAAAAACAGTTTTGTCAACAAAGTTTATTCACTTCCTTATTTTCAGGTTACCAATATCTCGCTTACGCTATAGTTTAATCTAATACATTTTGTTTTATTCTCATTAAGCAATAAGTTATTTACATTAAACCAGTTAACTATACGAGAGATAGAATTGTTTACATCGTCCAATAATACGTTATTCCTTTCACTTTAAATAGAAGTGAAGTGTCTCACAACATACCATCTCAGAACTTCGTTGACAAAGAATGGAGTCATTTATGTAAATCAGAAATAAGAAAGCCCAGAACGATCCTTGGGGAGCCCATATACCTGCGAACCCAGAGGTGACTCCATGACTAACTCTTTGGATCCTTCCCTTTAAATTGAATTCATCAGGCTGGAAGCTTTGCCATCAACGCCATAGTTTGAAGCTTTCCAACGAGTATATCAGGATGAACCATCAGGCCTGACGGTCACAAAACGCCGACTCCATCATATGATTCTTCCCAGGCGTTAAATATGTCCGAAATCAACTTCACACCGGCATCGATTGTGGAGCGACCCTTAGTGAAACCATACTGTTTATTATGTAAGAGTTTATTTTTATTAAAATGTAAAGAAAGCTGGTCTACATTATCTTTTCAAAAACTTTGCTCAACGCAGGAGCACGAAACAGGTCTAAGTTGACGGACGACTCACTACCGGCCTTGAACAACGGTGTAATCTTACTTAATTTCATTTCGTCCGAAAGACTCCACAATCGATACATCTGTTAAAAATTATAGACAATTCAGAGCTTATTACATTAATAACGGAATTTAAAATGACTGTTGACATACCCCATATATCTTTACTTTTTTTTAAATTAATAAGCTTAAAAGTTTTAACGATATCATTACAAGTTATATGTTTAAACTGAAATTTAATATTACATTCAGGTACACATTTTTCTACGCGCCGGTGAAGTTTGCCTTGCTTTCGCTTTAGATGCTAATATATTATACTGATTGACGTTACTATTACAACACTGTCCGTAGTGGAATTGTTAGCACTTTTTACGTCACCACGAAATCCGTTAGCGCACAAGTGTGAACAAAACAATGCAATGATAAACAATAGTGACATAAACTGAAGGTTAGTATAGTAAAAAATTATTAGCAGCCACATTTGGAAGTGACACGATTGAATTCGTTAATAGGTTTATGGTTGAAAGATGGATTTTTCAAGGATTCAATAAGGGGTAGTGAAGTATTTGCAAATGTATTATTGTAAATAGAGCAGTTTTGGCCTACTAGTTTCAATGTGCAACTCTCATTCCTGGGGTCGTATGTTCGTTCCCCGACTGTGCACTAATGGACTTACTGCCTGTGCGCATTTCACACTCGCTCATACGGTGAAGTAAAAAGTGAGGAAACCGGCATGCCTTAGACCCAAAATGTCGACGGTGTGTGTCAGGCACACAAGGTCACCTGTGATCTGACATAAACTA